GGCTGCTGTGCATACAATCTGCATGGCAATCAGCAGAAAGCCATTTGACAAGTAAGGTGAAACAACAGTTTGCACGTTATACAGACTTAAAGCAACTGGCATCATCACCACTTGCAGTGCCACAAGACTCGAGGGTGTGGCTGATGCAGAACTGAACAACAGAAAGAAGGAAGGAAAAAAAGTATTGAAAAGCAAGGGTGTTACTATGAGGACTAAGGTGTACCCGACTCAGGCCATGGTATTTTTTTTCAATTGTCTCATATGCATGTGAGGGTTGGACACTGAATAAGGAGAAGTGAAGACGAATCGATGCATTTGCATTATGGTGCTGGCGAGAATACTGAAAAGTACCATGGACTGCCAAAAGAACCAACAAACCTGGCTCAGAGGAAGCACGCAAGAATGCTCCTTAGAGGCAAGAATGGCAAGACTTGTCTCACATACTTCGGACTTGTTAGCAGGGCAGGTTATCAGTCCCTGGAGGACGGCAGGCGTGGTAAAGAGGAAGGCTCCTCCAGGAGACTGCCCGATGCAGGGCTGCACCAACGGGCTCCGGCAAAGAACAGCTGCGAGGATGGCGCAGGACCAGACAAGATTTTGTTCTGCTGAGCAGAGGGTCCTTATGGCTCGGAACTGCCTGGATGGCGCCTAACAAGAAGCTTAAACTACCACCTGTTTAATGAACAAAAAGAATACAGTTAAGGAAACTAGAAATAAAGCTCCCTAGGACAAGTATTTCAACTGAAACACCTAATACACGCTTTTACATGCTAACAGATGCTTTGACCAGACCAAAATGGTCTATGTCATCTTAAAATAGTTTCCCAAACTGAAGCATATACTCTTGACTGTGGGGGAGGTCAGATGCTTACAGACATCCTCCCTGAAGACAGTCAGTCACCAGACCAAGGAGTGGGCCTGCTCCCTGCTGCTGGGGACAATGGGCTAAGGCTTGTGACCATTAGCTTGGTTCCTGTAGATGGAGTTTACACCCTACTGATAATGGTTCCTATGGAGACCCAGAGAACAGGTCAAAGTTAAGCTGCCATCCTAAATCTAGGATCCGCCCATCTTGTCCCATGTATACCCCCAACCCCTCCTCTTCCTATTGCTTGTATGTCCCTAGACCACCCCCTCTCACTGCTGTATAACCTATAGTGCAACCCCTTCCTGTGAGGTATGTCTTTACCTGTAATTAGTGGGCTTGCACGCCCCCAAAGGTATATAGGCCTGGGTTAGCAATAGAGAGCTGTCTCTTTCTCTCTCTCTCTCTCTCAATGATACCATGAAATGTGTCTGACTCCATTATTTTAATCTCTTATCTCTCATGCTCTCGATGACTTTAATATAATATTTATATATCTCAACCGTACAATTGTGCTTACTAAACCCATGATTAGTGGTGGGGGGCTGACCAACCCCCAACTCATACCGCACTTGACAACTCTTGCTATACTGATCAAAAAATGAGGTCCTACCAATGACACATCCAGGTCAATTCAAGAAAGAATGAAAAAAGAGGATTGTTTCTTTTAATGGAAAGAAGGGTTTTAAAAAAAAAAGGCTAGGGGTAAAAAGGTAGAACCTTTTTAACAGAAGGCACTTACCAACAGCCAATAATATCCAAATCAAAAACTATTATCTGCTTAACAAACTTTAATGCTTCCATTTAGAAGGAGCACTGACTAATAGATAACAGCTTGAAGATTAAAGGATTTTCTTGCTATCTTACTGCTGAGAAGTTGAATAGCATGCAGTCACAGAATAAGAATGACCCGTTTTTCCCCACAGGGTAGATTTTGCAGTGGGGGCGGGGGAATAAATTTGTAATTGTATCAACAAATGAATTTACACAAGTCCAGGGGAATGTGGAGCTCCTAAATATTAAAAGATTCTAAAGAAGAACGATCTCATTCTGCCAGTTATACTTCTCCACCCAGCATCTCTTCGTAGCCATAAGGCCGCTGGAATCCACGTGACCAAAAGAACACGGGTGCTGTGGCACAGGAGGGAGCCAGCCCAGGCTGTGGAGCTAGGTCTCCCCAACTGGGCAAGGGTCAGCATCTCACCTTCCACCTAGAATGCTGGCTGGTGTTTGGAGGCGTCCCTGGGCTGTTTACCTTGGAGTAGACAGTCTCTCTGACACACAACACTGACGCCACCGTTTTAACAAGAAATGGGACGAAACACCCACACAATCCCACCACCAATCACCCCTCTCAAGAGCAAGAAGATTGGTATTTCTGGATACATGTGTAGGGTGGGTGGGAAACCGACCCTGACAGCCTCGAGGGGAAGGGTCTGTGTGTTCTGAGGCTACGCAGAGAGGAACAGCCGCCAGGCCAGAGAACCTCGGGATGCAGAGAAAAGGCAGGTGCAGAGGGCATAAGCAGTGGAACCAGAACTCGGTGGGCCAGGCCAGCCTTGCCTCCCCTCCCCGGGTCTCCCAGCGCTCCACCTCGGACTGGGGGCAGCCCGGCCACTCCCCCCGTGCTCATTCTAGTGGGAACTACTTGAACTTTCCCTCTTTGACAGGGCCCAGCTTTCCCTGTCCTTAAAAATGAGGCCAACAAGCACTGGAATGGAGGCAAGGGGACAGCCTCATGAAAGGCCTACCTCTATTTCTGAAGCAGAGGCGTCCAAGGTTCAGGAAGCGAGAGAGAAGAGCCGGTGAAGAACCCTGCCTGCAGGCAGGGGCAGGCACAGAGCCCTCACCGCCTTTCCCAGGCTGCCGCCGCCTCCCGCCCAGTGCCCTGAGAGTTATGTCTCTGTTTTCCAGACAAACGTCAGCAGAACCGAAGTCCTCAGGGAGGTCATATGCTCTCAAGTTTGAAGGCGAAGGCAAGAGAGAAAAATGGTCTTGGAAGAGGCAGCGGTGGAGGGCAGCAAGGCACGGGGGCAAAGATGAGCTCTGGAAGCAGGTCTGAGTTCCTGCTTTGCCTCTGGGTGACCTTGGGCAACGTACATACACTCCCTCCGTGCCTCTTCCATGAAATGCCAGTGGTGATCCCGACCACACAGTGAAGTTGTGGGCACTTGTTCAATAGGTAGCGCAATGCCTATCATACCAGAAACAAAAATAAAACAAAGCCTGGCCATGGAGTCCATTCTGGCTCTTGGTGGCCAACAGAATCAACTGCCCCACAGGCTGTCGTAGGCAGATGTTCTGCACACCTCTCTCCCATAGAGGGACTGCCTTTATGGCTGGCGGCCAAGAGCTTTCCCTGCTGGGCTACCAGGGGCCCAGCCACACACACAGTGGTGGTTAACTAATACAGTTAGCTAGTCGTCTCCAACTTCCGCTGTACTCACGGAACGATCCGAGTGACAAGAAACTGCACCTACAGCCATCGGGTTGTCTGTTTGTGTTAGTTTACATCTTCCTGTCACGCAGTTGGGCCACTAACCTCAAGGTCAGCAATTTGTAAACCACCAGCTGCTCGGCTCCTGGGAGAAAGAGGCGGCTTTCCACTCCTCTAAAGGGGACCCTCTCTCGGAAACCCACTATCGGGTCACTATCAGTCAGAATACACTCAGCAACAGCGAGTTTTTGGTACTGTAATATCATGTACTACAGAGACTGCCACAGCATGTCATTCTCGAATGACACCCTTCTTGGATATTCACTCCATGCTCAATGGTATGAATTATAAAGATGCTGATAATAAAACACAATAGCAAAGAAATTTCATTTTTCTTTAAAGGTGTATTCCACTTATGTCAGAACTGACTTATCACTCAGAACAGAACTGGTTGTACCAGCCCAGGAAAACCTGCGAAAGCCAGAACCTGACCTTCACCTATCAGAGAAGGAAAACCCCAATCTTTCCACGAATAGAGAGCAAGCAGGAAGTGGGAAGACTGCACCCCATCAAAGGCTGAAAACTTGAAGACCTAGGAAAACAAAGCAGGCCCGAGGAACCCAGTTCTCACAGACAACAACGGTTCTCAAGCAGAGGAACATTCTGGTATCGGGGCTCATGCAAGTGAATGATTTAGGGGAGGAAACAGAGGGGGACAGTGTAAGCAGGGGCCCGCAAACTTTTTAACCAAAGGGCCAGTTCACTGTCCCTCAGCCCCGTTGGAAGACTGGACTATAGTTTAAAAAAAACTATGAAAAAATTCCTATGCACACTGCACATTATCTTATTTTGAATTAAAAAAAACAAACGGGGCAAAAACACCCGGCAGGCCGGATAAATGTCCTCGGCGGGCCGCATGTGGCCCGCGGGCCCGTAGTTTGAGGACCCCTGGTGTAGAGATACTAAATGTCCTGTGAGGGGGGTGGGTACTTCTCCACACAAAGAACGGTCCCATCCAAAACACCAAAAGCACTCGCACTGACAAGCATAGCATAGGTTAATATTAACAATAATCCAGAAGTATCAACTGAGAGTATCAGTGTTCCCAGGCCTGTGACTGGAGAGTTACCAAATCCTCCACTGACATTTTACACAGGCAACCAGTTAGAGTTGCTCAGGCTTGCGCCCACCCGGTACACACTAAAGGAACTGACTGTCAGCCACTGCACATCCTCAATACAGACAAATTTCAGGTAGCAGAGGACAGAACAATGCACAATAGTATCTAAAGAGCAGCCAGCCTACTCAGGGAAGTTTTCACAAACTCCATGTGCCTAGTCCCAGCACTGTCTCTCACATGCATACTTCCACCCCAGCCTCTGCCGGGACCCTGGTTCTACAGGACAAGCAGCTATGTGCAGACTGTGCGGCATGAAAAGAACGCCCAGTGGATTTTAAAAGCAAACACATTTTCAGATTATTCTACAAATAAATGTGTTCCTAGAGGCAGGTAGCCTTCTTGACTTGGGAAAGAAATTCAGAGATGGCACTTTTAAAATCTGGAGACAAAGGGGGGCTACAAAGGCAGTGTCCCAGCAGTGGGTGATCAGGAAAGGTGGGGCTTCAAGTCCGTGGGTTTTCCCTTCAGCTAAACCAAACTAACCAGGAAAATCCGAGCCTCGGTAAGGGGGGTCTCACCATTCTGACATGTTCTCATCAGAGCCCTGCTTCTGTTCGCCAGCTTCACACTCCATCCTTTCCTTCCTGCCCGCTTTGCCCAGGAAAGTCCTGTTCTCTGCTGAGTCGCACAGCCCGTGGCCGGAGGCGGCCCAGGGGCTGTTCTCCTTCCAGCGAGACAGACGCTGCTTCTTGGCGGACTTGAACCTGCAGCCCCGCTCATAGCTCCAATCTGACACCTTGAGCTTCTGCTGAAGGCTGGCCGCCACCTCCGAGGTCACCCGCTTCACTTTCCGCCGGCGCCTGAGCGGCCGGCAAGGTGCATTTTCCGTGAAGGAGTCAGATTCGTGCCAGGAATGCTGCTTGGTCTTGATGGTGTTGAGAGCTGGGTGCCATTTGGCTACCATGGTGTCATCAGAGTCACTGCAGTTGGTGGCGGGAGCCACCTCTCGGCCGTCCTTGGTGGCCTCATCCAGACTGGACTCCGAGGCCTCACTGTAGCAGCAGGTGTGCTCGGCCAGGTGAGTGAAGTCTGAACGGCGCTTCCGGCCCCTCCGTTTCCGAAGCTGCCGCCTCTGCTGCCGCGGGCTCAGCGCCATCTCCTCCCACAGCTCACCGAGCTTCTTCTGCTCGGAGGTCTGCTCCAAGGCTGAGGCCAAGTCGTGGACCAGCTCATCCATGAGGTCACAGCTGCCAAAACAGAAGGAGAGGCGCCTGAATAGAAGCTGACGGCTTAGGGCAATGGGATCCAGCAGTAGTCGCAGGGCTGTCACACCCACCCTGCCCACAGGAAAGCAAGTCCCCCCTCCAGACGGCCACACTGACATCCTGTTCCTCCCACCCGTGTACCCCTACACCACTGTACACAGGCCTCTGGCCCTTGTGAGAGGCCTGGAGTCACCATGCTCTGTCTGAACCACACTCACGGTGCTGACACTCACCAGGTGACAGCAGGAAGATTAGCAGACGAGAGCACAGAACTCAAGGGACAAGATCTTCCCCCTGTTCTCCAATTAAGCATGTGATAAAATTACAGGAGAATGAGATCCAAAATGATGGGAGGTGATCTAATCAGACAGGAGCCGAAAAACACGGGGTCTCGCCACAGTACTGAGAATGGACACAGGCCTGGCTGTTCTGTGGTCCGGTCACTGGGGAGAATGCCAATAGTAAGAGGACAACTGAAGGCCCACACTCTCCCGAGGTCTGCCTGCAGCCTCAGTGCCCCAGGCCTCGGTGGGACCCCAGGTTTGGATGCAGAATGGAGAAGAGCCAAATTGGCACCCATTCTGGTCCGGGCCGCCACCTGGTAACCAAGTCCATCTTACAGAGAGTGGTTTATATGCTTTTAAAAGAATTAATAAAAACTTTTAGGCTCTCCTCCTCATCTCTCCAAAACTAAACTCAGCCACCAGCCTAATTCACAGCTTTAGTGACACACAATCACACAAAGACAGGAAATTACTGAGGCCAGAAAATGGGGACTGGGTGGAGCCAGTGTTGGATTACTCAATAAGCAAGGTAAACTC